TCTGGGGCCTCTGGATGTCTGGAGTTTTGATCTCCTCCATACCTGCTTCATGCCCTGGAGGACGGGGCTGTGGCCCCCCACACCCTCTAGCAGATCATTACATGAAGGAACCTTTAAAAAAAAAAAAAACAAGCGCGTCCATGCTCACAGGTGTACACACGGGTGATCACACCCACAAACTACACCCTTTTTGGCTCCTACCTCAAAGCACACTGTGTTCTGTTGATCTTATGTGCTGCACAATAATGTTTAATATTTAGTATTTACTGTCATATTCCCATATATCATTGTGATGCTGGTTATTCTATTACTCTTGTTCTCTTCTGCTTGTTTTCTTTTTTCTTTCTCAGCTGGTGATCCAGGTGATTGATATATGCTTTTTTTTTTCTTTTTTTTTTCTTCTGCTCATTCTGTTGGTTTTTGTTTTTTGCCCTTCTCCCCCGTCCCTGTTCTCAGCTGTTTCTCTTTCCCTCTTTCTTTCTCCCCTTCTTTCCCCCAGTCAAGTCTGTCCCGTATTCAGTAAGTGAAAATAAAATAAACAATAAAAGGTGAATCAAATGGACCATTACGGCAAGGCTGGGATGGTCAATTTGGTAAAGTAAATCCGTTGGGCATCTTTCTTTGCCTTTAGACAACAATTCTGATGGCAAAAGAGCCAAACGGGACAGGCAAAAAAAAAAAAAAAAAAAAGAGTAAAGGTGCCCAATATTCAGAGATTCTCATATTTAATCTCAGAAAAGCAGCAAAGTAACCAGTTTAACCAGATTACAGAGGCTGTTTTCAGCGTTATAACATGATGATGATGAACTAGAGCTTTAATTATGTAGAGAAAATGAGCAGGTTTTTCAAATGAATTCAGAGAATGTGAAATGTCAAAGAACAAATGAACAAAGTGAGTGATCTAATTTAGCTTCCAGCAACATCACATCTTTTAAATTTGAGATTTGCCTCTTTATCTTTTAATTTGCCTGCATATGTAAACTTACAGCTTCTGTCATACTTTAATTTCTCCTGTCTTTAAAGTGGGAAGAAGTATATTGTTTTCAAACCAGAACAAAGGAATCCACCTAAAATCAGACAGAGCTCTGATGCATTTCCTGTTTTTATTTTGAGAGGTTATAAAAACACAACACCCCTCAGGTTGTGTTTCTTTGTTACCTTCCTAAACTTAGATTCACACAGCATCACCCTCACACAGACACATGCTGGTGTGTGTTGTCACTGTGACACACCCAGCTGATGCTCTTCTGGTGTGACTTGCAAACAAAGAAATGACATAAGTTGAAACTTCAACAAATCTTCTGATCATTCATGGTGTTAGAGCGCCGCCACTGGACTCAAACAGCGCTCCATCTGTGCTGTTGTGAGAAACCACGTGATGACTCTGTTAGGTTTCGTCTTTGTGTTTATGAAGCTGGATCTGGTTTGATTTGCAAGCGTTGGCACACAAACAAAGACGCTGTTATCTAATTTAAGCGCCAGATAGTCAAGGTTTTTTGTCTTCCTGGTTTTGCAACATTGCTGCAATGATAAAGAAATGAAGCTAATAATGATTAACATCAGAAAAACTTTAGCAATGTAGAACTATGTATGTATAAAACACATAAAACCACAATATTTAAGTATCATTGCCTGAATCCAAGGGTTACAGACATAATATTATACATTTGGAATATAAAAACAAAGTTGTAAGTTTTTGGATTTTAAGACTTCTTAGTTGTTTCTCTTGTCCTCATCTGACATTTTTTATTTGTTTTTTGAGTAGGATTTGCCACAACATCCAATATATTTATCTCTCTCTCGCTCTCATTTATAAGATTTGGAGTTTTGAGATGTGAGTCAGCAGCAGAATTCAGTGGGTGGTGTTAATAGACCTGACTGTAACAAAGAAGGAAAAAAATGTCTGTTTGTAGACTCCGCCACACTCAAAATAAAACTGCCGCATGCGCAGTAGCTCTTCTCTGACCAATAGGAATTCAAAGCTGGCTGCATCTTAACAGTAACCAGGCAAAAAAAGGGAACCAAGGTTTTCTTTCGAAAGTGAAACTTATCAGGCAGAATGACCTCAGAAACAAAGAGCCAGTGGTGTGTAGTCTGTGGGCCTCGTCTTTAACCACTACCTCACTGTAGGCCGTCTATTTGCTTCACAGCTGTTATCACATATTTTCTGAAGTTATTTATACTTAATCACATTCTTACTAATGCTATTTTAAAAGTAATTTAAATTATGCTCATGTTTACACTCATATACAAATAACTTCCCCAAGTAATCCAGATACAATTATTCATCCACCACAAATTCATCAGGAAACCTATTCCAGCAAAATCAGCTGGAATAGCCGTGTGTCCTTCTCTTTCTGCAATGTTGCTGCAATGATAAAATAAGGAAACGATCAATTCCTAAAATCAGAAATGTTGAATTTTTTTATGTATAAAAACAAATAAAGATCAATATTTAAGTATTATTGTCTAAACCGAAGGTCTACGACTGAATATTATGTATTTACATATAAAAATTAAAATATAATGTTGGATTTTAAGACTTTCTGTTATTTCTGTTTCTCTTGTCCTCATCTCACCTCTGCCCTCACAGACTCTTTCTCACAACTTGCTGCCTCTCATATGAACTCACTTCAAGCTATAATCCCACTGTTCATGATTAAACCACAAATTCTGCACATAAACCTGTCTAAGCATCAAAGACTATCATTAAGCTCTGCTGCAGGACTTCTTTTATTTTTAAGAGCAGGTTTCTCCACAATGTGCTGCTGGGTTTGGTTTGTCAGATGGCGCCATCTAGCAATGGGATTGTAGTACTGCTGAATATAAAAGTAAGCTTTGTCTTTAAGTGTTTTCTTACCCCTAATTATATCTTTGATCAAATCCCTTCAGGCATATAGGAAAGTCAGCTTTTGCAGATGATACACTCATCAGGAAGAGAGGAAGAAGTGTGCAGACTGTTAAAAAGCAGCTGCAAGAAGCAGTGAGGTAGGTACAAATATGGGCTATACATGAGGATTTCAGCTCTCCATAGAAAATAAAACAAAATCGTGTATTTAAAAAGGAAACATATAAGCAAAGATTGCTTCATCTATCTGCATGTCATTGGAATTTTTAGGAGTGCACTTTGATGTAAAGCTTACATGAACACAGCAAATTAACGGGAATGAGAAGAAAATGTAAAAAGAGTTTAAATACCTGGTGGAAACACAATGGGAATCACAAAAGCTAATTTTAAAAAATGTATATGCATATATATCAGTGATAAGATGTAGTTTGATTATGGAGCTGTAACATTGGGTTACTATCTGTTTGTATTGAGGCACAGGTTTCGCAGCCTTTGGCTGAACCGAGCAGAGATCATAGACCTGGACTCTACAGATTTAATGGCGCTGTTTCTGTGAGCAGTCACATCATCAGTAAACACTAGCGGTAGTTGCTGTGCTTTCAATCATGAGCTGTTTTTCTTTTCCAAGCTCTTCATTTCCCATCATTGTTATGACATTTGTTTCATTTTTTTAATGATTTATTTATTAATTCATTTTATTGTTTACATTTCTGTGTACGCCGTTTTAGATGTTTTCTGGGAAAGTCTTCCTGTTCTTGAGTGTAACCAGTGTTTTGTACCATGTTGTAAACTCTCTGTATTTACATTAAATAATGGTTCTCATGACTGTAGACCATGACAATGACATACACACTCATCAAGTGTTACTGGCTTCTTTCTTGTAACCATGTAAATAATTCTGCCATCATTCACTTTAGTTGTCTTCTGTGGTCTTTCAGGCCTTTTGTTGTTGCCGAGCTGGTCAGTGCATTCATTCTTTTTAATAATCCATCCATCTTCTTCCACTTTATCCGGGGCCGGGTCGCGGGGTCAGCAGCCTAAGCAGAGAAGCCCAGACCTCGCTCTCCCCAGCCACCTCCTCTATCTTATCCTGGGGCATTCCAAGGAGTTCCCAGGTCAGCCGAGAGATATAATCTCTCCAGCATGCCCTTTTTAATAATGCACCGGATTATTGATTTGGCCACTTGTGCGTTTTTGCTCTCTCTGAAATGTTTATTTGGGTTTCTCAGCCTAGTAAAGTCGCCATAACTTGCACCAACATCTTTTTGTGGTCACATTTAAAATTGGAGTTATATTATCCATGCTTAAATAAAAGCTAATCAAAAAAACAGTAGTTTGACTTTTCAGTACACTGCAGACCAGCTCCCACCAGGAACAAACCTGACAACAATCTGCTGGCAAAGCTAAAGCTACATGATTGTGTGTGGAGCAGAAACAACTAAGAACAGCTGTGGCTAAACACACACTATAGTTATATCATACAGCTTGATTCATGCCTTCCTTGGGGCATGGTCATGTAAAGTTAACACTTCTTTTGAGAAGACCTTTAAGCCAGTTGTTGGACAGTCACATCAGCAGGTGGAGTTTTCTAACTTCCAGGAGGATCAATGTTTCTTGGATTACAACCTGCGTTGTTGCAGCATCTGCTCTTCATGTGAAACATCCAGCACACAGAGCAGATGTCTAAAGTAGATCCAGTGACATCTCCACCGAACTTCTAGTATGAACGATGGCATCCAAGAGTTTTGCTCTTTAAAATGTCTGATTTCTCACCCTCCTCTGACGTATCACTTTCATGTAGGACTCATGGCAAATATTAAGTGAATGAAGTTTCATTTATTAAAATTGCACAAGTAGAATTGGATGCTTTTGACTGGAATTCGTTGAAAGCCCGAAAACGTTATATTTTTTAAAGGACTAACCAAAGTAGATGCAGAAAACAACGATGTGACAAAATCATTAGAAAAATTTAATGATTTTTTTAAAAGGGAAAAACTGTGAGATATGACAAAAAATTACACCACTGTGGTCTAAAAGAATCTCAGTCAGTAGGATTCAGTTTAAACATGTCCCCAGTTGCCTGATAAAATTATTAAATAATAATAATTAATAAATAAATATAACATAGAATCCCTCCACTGTTTACTGTTCTACGAATGATTTTATATATAAAATCTGTACAAGTTCTGAATATCATACATTGTGCAAGGAGTTCATTAATAATCCCAGCTCTATGATGTCTGTAATCACAGAGCTTAACAAAATGTGTCAAATAAATTAATTTGAAGGAGAACGTTCTTGAAAAGAAACTCTTAACATTATAAAGTTTATAAATTATAACAGATCCAAAACAAAATGAGAAAAGAAGCATAAAAAGAAAAAAGGAACCAGCTTCTCATCATAGACAAATGTCCCAAAAATGTCCTTGTGTTTAAATAATTTGGGATCTACATCTGTGAATGTTGCAATTTCTGAGTGAAAAACACAAAATGACTGATTCTGTTCATCTGGACGAAGCGCTTTCAGTGGGAGAAACGTTTCGTCGCTCATTCAAGGGACTTGTAAACTTATAACCAGAACATTTGCATAATGACTGGAATTAGCACCACTGACTAGCAATGGGCCACGAGGTCAGTTTTATGATTGGTATTAAAGTCATGACCTTTGATCTGTAGTCACGAGTACCATTCACAGAGAGTCAGGGCTGCAATCACAGCTGCACCCTTTGGTCCTTCCTCAGTTCAGAGATGGTTGTCTACTCTTTACTGCTCTCCTGTCAGAACAGAAATATTGAGTCTGTTTAATGCAGTCATTCATTTTTTACTTCATACTTTTTGGATTTGGAACATTTATTTTACATTTATAGACATTTATATAATAATAAATAATATTTAAAAGTTTTTAGAGATGATATTAAATAGTGTAGTTTGGTGTGCTGTACGTACATTAGGATTTAATTACTTTTGAGTCTGAATCTTCAAGTCACAGTATCAGAAGCTTAAAAAGAAGAATTATATTTTTAGATGAATAACAACATTAGTTATTTCTGTCAAGCTGACGTCAGTGACTCTACAAATCTTTTTACATTCAGTACACAAATAACATCCAAATATCTTTAAACACATTTTAAAAAGTACTTACTGTTTGCACGATTAAACCCTGAAAACAGACATTACCACAGTTATTTATTTAGAAATTAATCAGACAATAAGTATTTTACATCATTTAATTAGTAACTGCTATCTAAATTATTAAATATTCCCAATTTATGTTTTTTTTTATATCATAGGAACAGGGCATGAAGTATATTAATTTATTAGAATAATAATATATTAGTAAATATTTCACATGAATATCATTCATAAAGCATAAAAATATATTTTGCTCATTACCATTTCCTCGTAACTTGAAATAGATTCCGATACAGACGGCCAGGAGAAGAACCGCAAGACCTCCGATAACACCACCAACATGAAACCCTGAAGGACCTGAAACCACAATATTTACAATATTTCTCTCACAGACCAGTGAGTAATCAGACTATGTTCATTACATTAGTCCTTTGATTATTTTAAAAGTATTGCAGGACTTAAACAACCTGATATATTCTCAGTGTAGATCAGTGAATAATGAGTTTTAGGATGAGTTTAGTCAGAATAACTGAATCACAGTTACTGTTTGATTCTCAGCAGATACATCATAATGACTGACCCAGTGAAAACTGTGTTACAATACTGCATATATTTATGTTTTTACATGCTGTGAGAAAACAAGTTATAAATAAACATCATGGAAAGTTTAATCCTTTATTTAAAATAACAGCATCAGATCTAACCTGTGCACAGTTTAGGATCCTTTGTGAACTTGATGAGAAACATACTGTGAAAATACTAAAATACACAAATGTAAAAAATAAAAATAACATTTTCCCAAAATGCATAGTGAGAATTACAAAATAAAGCTGTGTATATATTATTGGATCTTGACCTTTTGTCCCATTAACTCTGAAATTATTTATTTAAATCAGATTGTAATTAAATGGCTGATTAGTTTTTGTGACCATTTACTGAACCACTGTGGTGATGACAGGTTACAGTGTACATGGAATAACAAAACAGGCCAGAAGAAAGATAAATATATTTTTTAAAGATTAATAATCTCCCTTTGAATTCAGTCTTACCTGTATTGGTCTTGATTTTTGTTTTGTCCAGTTTGGTGACGATCTCCTTGTTGACGCTACTGAACTGAAACACACATTCGTGCCTCTCCCAGTCTTCAGGTTTGACTGATGAAAGTTTCAGATCAACACTCATCTGGAAGGTCTCATCATTGTTGGGGAGGATCTCTCCTTTGTGCACACCCTCATGAAGCTCCTCTCCATCTTTCCTCCAGAACATCTCAGCTACGTTAGGAAAAAATCCCGTAGCGTGGCAGCTGATGGGAGAGGAGGGCGTCTTCTGGAGGAGAGACACTGAGGGAGGAACTAAAGAGTAAAGAGGTTTTTAGTTTATGTCTTATTAACTGTACTTTTATATTACTGTTTCTGTTGTCATAGGGAAAAAGACAAGGAACACCCCAGATATGATGGATAGATAGGCTGCCAGAAGCTAAGTGTGTCCACAAAGTTCATACTAGAAAGTGTAATGTTCAGACAAGTTGTTTATTTAGGCTGATAAGAGCCTAAGAAGGGAAAAAAAGAAAGAGTACTAAGAATACAACAAGGACACCAAAAATTAGTAAGGAATAAAGAGTTCCCAGAAACAGTACAAGACGATAAACAATAAACACAACAGAAACTGGAACTAAACTCAGGGTAGAAAACATGAAGGAAACACACAAAGATGAAAACTAAAAAAAAAAAGCCGACTAAGAATCAAACTGAAGACATTTAATAATAAACAGAATTTGAAAGACCTTCTGGGTCAAAGACCCAGGACCATGACAGTTTATCCAACATAAGCTGCTCTGCAACCCTGGAGCCGATCCTAGCTGTCAATGTGTAAGAGGTGGACAGCTCACCAGTGTATCACGAGAGTAATATAAATGCAGAGTAATAAGGAAGAGATGGAAACTGAAAATAAAAGCATGAAATGAAACTAAGAATCTTAATAGCAAGGACTAAGATGACGTTAGTAGAAAAACAAAGAAAAAAAAGCCATGAATGTAAAAAACAAAACACAGTAGTAAATATATAGTGAAGAGAGGTGATGAGAAAAATTAGAAAACTTTTTTTTTTAATTATTATGGACACCGACATTGAGTCATATGAATATTGTGTCCATTGCTCTAAATCTGGTGATTTTACCTGTTTTCATCAGAGATTTCCTCCCAGAGTTCACAAAGTTCTTCAGTTTGTCAACACACTCCTGTGTGAGGAAGTACTTCTTGTATAATATGCGAGTTTTGTCTCTGTCCCAGTTATGTTTGGTTATAACAGCCTGAGGTGCTGAAGCAATATATGTCTCTGTCTTCAGGTCAAATGCAACATAATCTCTCCCATCATAACCAAGTATCTCAAATCCAGTCACCTCTTCTGTGTCTTCGTTCCACTCACAGCCGTACATCCACTGCAAAATGTGAACACCTGAAAGATAAAGAACTGTAGTAAATGAGAGATATTCTATCTTTAGATGCTGTTCAGCAGACAGCAAACCTCAAACTGTTGTAAAGAAGGAGTCCTTTTTATTCAATGTTAAGAGAGCCTCAGTGTTTTTAATATAGACAAAAAAGCACTGAGCTACCCTATGTAGGGAATAATCAAAGACACACAACAAAACACATCCTTTTTATGAAGTCAGCACATCAAATCAGTGTTTCTGGAGCTGCTATTTAGTCCACAAGACACTCAAAACACCTCTGAGAGAGCATGCTCTTGGCAACTGGACACTCTAACGTTTGCTTTAATTGTTTTGATGCATACTCAATCAGCCAGGTGATGAAATTATTTCAGTGTTTTCCGTGGAAGAAACATTTCTTCCAGATGAACAGAATTAACTTTTTAGGTCTTGCTTTAATTAACTGTGTATAAAGATTCACTGTGGTCTGGGTCAAAGGAACCCAGCAGCAAACCCTTTTCTTTCCCATCATTATCTTAGCTGCATTCCTACAGCTACCACAACCAATTTTAGGGTTTTGCCACCTGCTAAATCCCATTTTAACCCAGTCTCTTTTTCCTGCTTGGAGGCAAAGTCATCCTCTACAATGTAAGAACAGAAAATAGAGATATTTTTAAATTTTTCTTCTTTTTCTCTGCTCATTTTTTACTTGACTCATTCAAGCTAAGTGCATTTATTAGAATTAAAATTTAAACTAAAGTTTGTTTCTCATTTATTAATATTATTTTATTATTACATTAATATAACACAATGTTCAGGTAGCTTTGCACAAAAATAGAAATGTTCGCCAAAGACCTGCTTTTTTACTTTCTTACTTTAAGTACATTTCACAGTCTTTACGTTTTTACTTTTACTGGAGTATTTTTAACACTCGTATCTGTACTTCTACTTAAGTACTGAATGTCTGTACTTTTGCCACCTCTGCCACAGAGACCCTTAACTGTTATCAACTTTGTGTTAACATTATAATATCAAAATTTAGCTGAATTTTCAAATTCATGCTATGGCTGCACCAGTGAAAATTCACAACAAACCCATCAATCATAGAACATAGAACATGCCCTGAAAGCACACTTGGGTTACACAGGTGGACAATGATCTAAAACATGCCAGTAAGTCTACCACTGAATGGCTAAAACAAAACAAAAAAAATAACTAAAGGAAGGTTTTAGAGTGGTCTAATCAAAGTTTGGACTTAAATCTGATTGAGATGCTTAAAGAGGTCATTCGTGCTCAAAACCCCTCCAATGTGACTGAGCAACAAACAAATGATTGATTCCAGTCGTTGCTGCCATTTAGGGATGGGAATCAAGAACACTGGTCCCAGTAATCCAATTTGGATTTGTTGGTCAGCTTGCCTATTGATCCTGCCAGTTGGTTTCATTTGCACTTGTGCTACAATCAGCTGATTTCAGTGTGTAGGAGGAAGAAAATGGCAGCCTGCAGAATGGATATGGACAATCTCTTTTCTTTTTCTTTTTTTGCACAAAAGGAGGTGTGTGATGGTAAAGTGCAAACTGCCTCCAGGACAGAAACAACTGCATTATGCTGCTAACACAATTTCAGCTCTTTGCAAGCATCTGCATGGACACCATGCTAATGCTAAGCTAGCCAGACAGCATGCTAACGCTAAGCTGTCCAAGATGTTAAAGCTGAATGCAGAACTCAGCCAGAGCCTGAACTTCAACAGTTAACAAACTGGTGAGCAGTCAGACTGCAGCCCCGTTTTCTACCTGTTCATCTTTAGCAGAATCACCGTGACGATCACTTTGAAGTCGCTGTGTGCTGGTTTTCATCTTTACTTTGTGTTCATGCCCAAATTACTAAGACAAAGATCACATGTGTGTTGTCATTAGGATAGTGATTTGTGTTGGTGTGTGACTGTAACCTATAGGTTTATACTATTAACTGATTATTATATGACAGCATGTTTCTGAACATTTTACAGAGTAACACGAATGGACTGTAACAAGTAGTATAACAAATTACTTCTGTGAGTAATTAAATAATGTACTGCATTACTGTGTAATATGTGTAATACATTACTTTTTAAATAATGACCACAACTCTGATCACAACAAATAGGTCAAATACCTCGAACATGCACAAACAGTTCACCACACAGCCTGCAATGAATTTGTATGACTGGAATATCTTTGAGAACCCAATGAGAATCGATAAGGAACTGAACTGATAAGTGATATCAATGATAAAATCAGAATCACTACATTCTCATCAAATCCCCTCCTTCCTGCCAAGGATTGCACAACCAGTTATCCAGTTTAGGAGACAATGACTTTTTCAGGGTCGTAGCTTTTTCCCCCCTTAATATATGAAATCATCATTAAAACTGCACTTGTATTTGCTCGGCTTATCTTTGTTTAATATTAAAATTTGCTTGATGATGTGAAACATGTAAGTGTGAAGAATATGCAAAAACAAAAAAATCAGGAAGTGTGGATTGTGTACACACACAAACACACACACATATACACACACATCAGCACTACATAACATTATATCTTCCTGAGAATCAGCCTGTCCATTTATGTCCTCTCCAATGGACATTTGTTTTTTATCAATATCGTTTTACTTATTTGAGCTGCCCCACTAAGTCCTGATGCTCTTAATAGAGGACATCATGTGCTTTCCATTGATATCTCATGTGTTTAAGTGGCCTCATTTAGCTCCAAAAGGGAAAGGAAATCACCAAAAAAGTTATTTTATCTCAGGAGGATCTTTAGGTTTCAGTGTTTTTTACTCACCGCTAGTCTGATTCAAACGCTCCATTAGCCAGACGACGTGTGCTTTGATCGCTTGCTCATTGTGTATGTTTCTCTGTCTCTCTCTTTCCCAATATTCAGGATCTACAGTTTTCTCAATCCACTCAGTCTTGGGTACCATCTTCTTCAAGCTGCTCTTATAATGCACAAACTCCTGACCATTTACAAATATGACTTCAGTTAACTCAGGAGATTCATTCCAACCAGTGGCTGCAGTCTCAATGTATGTCATAGTGTGTCGCTCTGAAACAAACAAACAAAAAGCAAGTTGCCTTCAAGTTAAATTTGTACTTAAATATTTCTGACTAATAATTACCATTCAGCTGGTAAAAATGCAACAAGATGCATTCAAACACTCTGAGAAACATTTCAGACAACACACATATTCTTTTGTTGTTAAAGTGGATATAAAACTGCACATATAAAGGCTAATTTTCATCACGGAGTTCTCAAAAACTGACATAGATGTAACCGTCTGTGGAGCTGGATTTAAGCAATAAGCTCTTAAAGTTAAAATTTTTGGATCGTGTTTAGCTGTACCTTTTTGCCAGCACAGAACGTGACATCACTGAGTTGGTTGGTCAGTTGCTGCTTACATTAGTTTATATTAGCTAACTAATGAACCAGTAATTCAGTGGAAAACAAGTGGAATAAAAATAAAAAAATAAAAAAAAACTGATAGAGATTATCATTAAAATTAAGTGAACACATCCAGAGGATAGCCACACTAACACCAACAGGTGAATCTGAGAGATTTTGTAGGTCACTTTAGATCTCTAAGTCAGCTTTTGGTGGGACTCAACTGAGGTGTCAGTCAGTTGTCTCCACATTTCTCTCTATTTAGCTACAGAGCAAGTGTCCCAAGACATCCACCAGTGGAGACTGTGTACCAGTATGAACCAGCAGATGCCTTTACAAAAAAGGGTGTGAAGTTTAAAACACACATAAATCTGGGTTTGACTTCTTTCATTTCCCCTCCACCTCTATTATCCTATGATCACTGGACTGATGTTCTACTGATAAGGCTCAAGGACAGTTGGCCATCCACAGTGACCGATTGTGGGTGAAGGAAGGGAGACAGGACAAAGGAATGCTGTGGAAGAGATCCAGAGATTAATAATAACTGATAATAAATGTAGAGAGGTGTATAAATACATAGAGTGAAAAGAGATAAGTGAAGAAGAAACACTCAGTGCATCATAGGAAGCACCCAGCAGCTTAACCCTATTGCTGCTTAACTAAAGTAGGATTAGACAGGTATCTGTCTCCTGGATCCAAGTTGGGAGCTGTTTCCACACCAAGGACATTTTGAGAACAACTTTGCCAAAAGTGTGGCATTGAGAAAAGTCACACCATCCCTCACCATCCAGTTGGTAATGGTCAGTGTGAGCAATTTAATCACACTGTGCACAGTGTACTATGCACCCTTCCTTCCACAGAGAAAAGAGACTGTCCCTGTTTTCTACCACAGGTTACCACATCAGTCGACTGATAAGTCACCGTTTTTCTTGATTTTTAGATCAATTGCCTGTTACGAAGGATTCATGAGCCTGTGGGCGGCAGCACTCATGACTGGATTGTGGAACACCAGACCCAGTTACGCCATAGGTCTTAAAGGTGTCACTAAAACACTGCAGCTAACACGCTGATCAGCATGTAAGGAATCATCTAAATACCCCTGCAAGACAGTTTACCTTAAAGGGTTGGCATTAGAGACCAAATTTGGTTGCAGATGGCCGAGGTGGTCACAGGTATGTAAAAAATTAGGTTGGAGCACATCTGGGGATTCCTTTTCTGTTGTAGTGTGACGACCCTGGTGCTCATGGACCAGATTCACTTCCCCTGGTGGTTGTTTTGCTGTTTAATGCTTATTGGTGGTAATTAGGATGAGAGCTGTAATTTGGAGTCAGGTGGAAACTCGATAACTGTTTTTCCTCCGTTTTGCTAATTCAACTGTATCATCTTTCATATCTGTTTCTATAACTGGGTTTATTGGCATCTGTGGAGAATTGAATTGTGCGGGGAAACATGTTTCTTTACTGTGCGTATGACAATAAACACTGAACTTGTAAGAGATAGGAATGTATGCTGCGTTTTGGATACATTAGACTTCATCACACAGAGAGTCGCAGGAAGTCGCTAAACACAGAGACAGAGCGGAGGTCAGTACTGTCATCCTGACAACTTGCAGATGAGCAAACTACATCAGCGCTACTTAACGCCTCTCACAGAGAGAGGAGGAAAAGCAGCAACGACCTCGTGCTAATGAGCAAAGACGCATCTCTGGTATGTACCGGATACCACGACCCACAGCGATCTATACCATTACGTCGCTGTGCTCTGCGAAGGGTTTTCTGAAAGTAAACATGAAAACTTTGAAAGCACCGCGGATTAGGAGCCATAAGATACATAGACTGAGCTTGCTTACCTGCTGCTGTGCTGTATGTTCCCACGACAACGAGAAAAATGAGTGTTTTCATTCTGGGTTGTAGCGATGAAACTGTGTTTTTCGTCTGCACCGAGCTCGGCAGTTATGACTCAAGTAAGAAGAATGTAAGAGGCGTGAACATCTGCCGTCTTCAGAGCCAATCAGAATTCTCCTTGAGCAAAAGATCCTCTGAAGCTGTGAACCAAAGTGAAACTAAAGTGTTTATTTATTTGCTTGATTGTTAATTTATTTTACGGGTAAAATAATGAAACCTCCAGGCTTCATATGGGTATTATATATATCATAATATATATAATACTGGATCAGGTACATGGGTGGATATTGTAATGTGTAAGGAATCAGCAATTTATCTTGCATTTGTTTCACAATCTCTGGCTGTTATTTGTAGCTGAAGAGAATAAATACAAATAGAATAAATGCACAGCTGCTTAAGACTGAATGTATTCCTTATGTGTTGGAACTGGAGTCAACCAGTTCATTTGGAAGTCTGTGGCTGCCATAAATGCAGCTCACCACTTCATGTTACTGGTAGGGCCTTTCTTTGAGGCTTTGAAGCTTCTAATCTTTTTTTGGTAAAATCAGGAAGAAGCCCAAAGACATGCAGCTTGTGGGACAGGTTAATTGGATAATCCAAATTGTCACTAGGTGTGAATGTGTGAATGAATGTGAGTGTGAATGGTTGTCTGTCCTTGTGTGTTAGCCCTGCGACAGACTGGCGACCTGTCCAGGGTGTACCCTGCCTCTCGCCCTATGACAGCTGGGATAGGCTCCAGCGCCCCCCGCGACCCTGAAAAGGATAAGCGGAAGCGAATGGATGGATGGATGGATCAGGAAGAAGCCTCAAATACTTCATAAGCCTTCATTAGTTCATCTCTAGCTCCTATCCATCCCTCCATTCGCCTCATTTGTTATCATCCCATTCACAGCTGTACATCCATTGGAAAATGTGAATACCTGAAGGAAGAACAGAGAGAAAGACGGCAGCGAACCAGAGTGAGCTCCAGCACCGTCTTATGTTAAAATAGAAACACACCAGTTAACAGACACCAAAACTCCTGACCTGCACCCAGTGCTGGAGGCCAACACAGTGTGGATTTTAGAGAGACTCTTGGAATAAAGAATAACACAGGTCAAATTCTCTGTCACCACAGCTGGACAGCACAGAAGCACCTCCACAGAAGGAGTAGAGTCATGTTCAGCAGAGAGTTTTTAAATTGTCTCATTAAACCAGAGACCAGCAGGACCAGGACACTCTGAGTCCTCATCTAATCTTTAGATTTTAAATATATATTTAGTTCCTCTGTTATATTAAAGAATTTTTTTGTTTGTTTTAATTATCCAGATAAAAATTTTACAGTGTAAATGCAAATTCCTTGTTGACAGTTTAACCAAAAGGCATTTCCAGTTGAAATTGGCCGATATATCCTCAGCATAACCATGTATAATATCCACAAAACTTAAAAAGAGGTTGTAAACCAACACTCATTTAGGTTTTGATGTTTGTAGCTGTTTGTAGGCTTTCTGCAAACAGCTACAAACAAACATCAGGGACCCAAACCAGCCCTCTCACAGCCTGTTCTCACTCCAGCATCTGGAAAGAGGAGACGGAGCATCAGCTGCAGAACCAGCAGGATGCTTGAAGACTTTTCACCAACAATCCTTATTTTGGATTTGTTATCGCTGTATTTTATTTCTTTTACTGATCATTGTAGCGTAGAGGCTGATGAGAAGCAACATTTTGTTGAAGCCTTTGTACTTCTGTAAAAAAATAACAACAACAACAACAAAAACAAACAAAGTGCGACATAAAAATAAACCTTGAATCTTGAATATATGCAAGCCGAGAGTCTGTTTACAGTAACACCTGAGCCACCTGAGAGCAACACTATCTCTAAAGAACAGTTTCATTTTTATGAAGCTTACCTGCAGACACAGACGCTGTCCAGTAAAGAAGCAGCATCATAAACGTCCTCATCTTCAATTCAATTCTCTCAACATAAGAAGAAAAAATTAATACAATCGTTTATTGTTTTAATTTTGCCACAAAATGAAACTACAGCCTCTGAGTCCGCACGTGCTGTGACTCCTCTCTGACCAATAGGAATTCAAAGCTGGATGCGCCTCACCAGTAACCAGGCAAAATGAGAGAACCGAGGTTTATTTATTTACTAATTTATTTTGGAAAGTAAAACGCTTCAGGCAGAAACAAAGAGCTAGTAGCGCGTAATCTGTGATTTTGATCAGAGACCTAAAGTGACGCAGGGATTAAAGACACATACCAATCATGTATATTTGTGTCTCAGCTGTTATCACATATTTTCTGGAGTTATTTGTACTTAATCATATTCTTACTAATGCCATTTTAAAAGTAGTTATGCTCATGTTTACACAACTATGCAATTAACCTTGAGTTCCCAGAGTAATCCAGATACAATTATTCATCCACCCACAAATTTATCTTGCAACCTATTCCACCTGATTTTGGACAAGAGATAAGGTACACCCTAACAGGTCTCGCCCAGAGAGAGAGAAAGAGCAACCATACACTCTCACATCCACACCTATGCTTCATTTAATCACCAGTTAACCTAAAATGCGCGTTTTTGGACTATAGGGTCAAGTCAAAGTGAAAGAAGTGTAAAAGAATTGTTCCACGAACTAGTATCCCACATTATACCAAAGTAAAAACACGTTTTTACAGGTAAAAGTCTTGCAGTCAAAATCACGCTTAAATAAAAGTCACAAACCACCAACGGAAGTAAAAGATTTATATTTATCATAAATTAAGTTGTAAGAGATTATTGATTTGTAAGCAGTATTCATAGTATAAATACTGCTTACAAATAAATTTTAGACAGTGTTATCTGTTTGAGGTCCATCAAATACAGTTCAGCAGTTTAAAGCTTGGCCAACCACCGGGGTCACCACCTCTGTGTAACCTGAGAGTTTGTGACATGAAAGCCTGCACACTGAAAACATGAGAAGAGGTCAAGATCAGATAATGCTGACTCTTTAACTAGAACATACTCAGAGGTGTATGTGCTTTTTACTGTTGTATTTCATGAGCTTATAATATGATTTAAATTCCTGAAAAGTCAACAAAGCTGTCAAATATAAAAACCAAAGCAAAAAAGAAAATTTTTTATTTCTAAAATATTGGGATAGACAGACCAGAGAAAAACACACAGTGATGAAAAACGTATACACTTAATAACTTTGGGTAAGGTTACACACTAAATGCTGCAATATGAGGGGAAAGCAGTCAGAGTAAAGGTGCCCAATATTCAGAGATTCTCATATTTAACCTCAGAAAAGCAGCAAAGTAACCAGTTTAACAGAGGCTGTTTTCAGCGTTATAACATGATGATGATGAACTAGAGCTTTAATTATGTAGAGAAAACGAGCAGGTTTTTAGGATGAATTCAGAGGATGTGAAATGTCAAAGAACAAATGAACAAAGTGAGTGATCTAATTTAGCTTCCAGCAACATCACATCTTTTAAATTTGAGATTTGCCTCTTTATCTTTTAATTTGCCTGCATATGTAAACTTACAACTTCTGTCATTCAATAATTTCTGCTGTCTTTAAAGTGGGAAGAAGTATATTGTGCTTCTGACATGCTTTTCACACCAGAACAAAGGAATCCGCCTAAAATCAGACAGAGCTCTGATGCATTTCCTGTTTTTATTTTGAGAGGTTATAAAAACACAACACCCTTCTGAAGCATGAGTTTGTGTTTCTTTGTTACCTTCCTAAACTTAGATTCACACAGCATCACCATCACACAGATACTGGTGTGTGTTGTCACTGTGACACACCCAGCTGATGCTCTTCTGGACTGTGACTTGCAAACAAAGAAATGACATAAGTTGAAGCTCCAGCGGAAAACTTCAGCAAATCTGATCATTCATGGTGTTAGAGCGCCACCACTGGACTCAAACAGCACTCCATCTGTGCTGTTGTGAGAAACCACGTGATGACTCTGTTAGGTTTCGTTTTTGTGTTTATGAAGCTGGATCTGGTTTGATTTGCAAGCGTTGGCACACAAACAAAGACGCTGTTATCTAATTTAAGCGCCAGATAGTCAAGGTTTTTTGTCTTCCTGGTTTTGCAACATTGCTGCAATGATAAAGAAATGAAGCTAATAATGATTAACATCAGAAAAACTTTAGCAATGTAGAACTATGTATGTATAAAACACATAAACCACAATATTTAAGTATTATTGTCTGAATCCAAGGGTTACAGACATAATATTATACATTTGGAATATAAAAACAAAGTTTTGGATTTTAAGACTTTTTACTAGTTCTGTTTCTCTTGTCCTCATCTGACATTTTTTATTTGTTTTTTGAGTAGGATTTGCCACAATATCCAATTAAAAAAACATTTCTATTTATCGCTCTCTAAGATTTGGATTTTTGAGATGTGGGTCAGCAGCAGAATTCAGTGGGTCGTGGTAATACACCTGACTGTAACAAAGAAGGAAAAAATGTCTGTTTGTTGTTTAGATTCCACCACACTCAAAATAAAACTGCCGCATGCGCAGTAGCTCCTCTCTGACCAATAGGAATTCAAAGCTGGCTGCATCTTAACAGTAACCAGGCAAAAAAAGGGAACCAAGGTTTTCTTTCGAAAGTGAAACTTATCAGGCAGAATGACCTCAGAAACAAAGAGCCAGTGGTGTGTAGTCTGTTGGGCTCTGTGTCTTTAACCACTACCTCACTGTAGGCCGTCTATTTGCTTCACAGCTGTTATCACATATTTTCTGAAGTTATTTATATTTAATCACATTCTTACTAAATCCATTTTAAAAGTAATTTAAATTATGCTCGTGTTTACACTCATATACAAATAACTTCCCCAAGTAATCCAGATACAATTATTCATCCACCACAAATTCATCTGGAAACCTATTCCAGCCAAATCAGCTGGAATAGCTGTGTGTCCTTCTCTTTCTGCAATGTTGCTGCAATGATAAAATAAGGAAACGATCAATTCCTAAAATCAGAAATGTTGAATTTTTTTATG